AAAAAAAAGCTTGATCAAATATTACAACAATTAAATGAACGTTTAATCAAATTTGTATCAAGTGAATCCCAGGCAGTTCCCACCCACAAAGCAAGTAGTGAATACGATGGTCTTCTAATTCGTCCCGAGGGAGTTAATTCATGAATTGCTTCTGCCATCCAACTATTATACAACACCCGGACTTTATCTTTAAAACTTTTATTAATACTAACATCTAATGGTTGTAATTTAGATGTAAGTCCACCAGGAATCACAGCAATATCTGTATTATGAATATGCATACGTAGTTTAACTGGATCTACTAAATGTGCACGAAAGGAGTCAAGTATTAAAAGGGATCTTGGATTGTCAGGAGCTCTTCTAGACCAAACATTCTCGATCCACCACAGCATTTCATTTTCATTAACCCAACCTTTTTCATTTGCCCGGACAATAACATTATGAGGAAAGATTTCTCGAGGTACGGTTTTTCTTTTAAATATGCATACTGGTGGTAGTTTTGTTCCATCGGCTAAACATGTGAGAATGACAGTAAAATTTTTTTTTTCATTACCAGTAGTTCGAATACTGACAGTGTGGGCTCCTCGCTTTTCAATTGTTGATGGGTTTGGTAAATCAAACGTGAGGGGAGTTTCATCCATATTTCCTATCAAAAATAAAGGGTAATTGTGTTGAATTCGTAAATTTAAAACGTAGTTAAGAAAGCTTTGTTTTTTTTCTTCGAAATCCTCAGGTAATTTCTGTGAGACGGTTGTCCGACGGCGAATCGATAAATCATAACGATTTAAAAAACCGTCAAGCCAAATATTTGAAAACTTAAACGATTGAGGATTTGGCTGTTGAAAATTCATGGTTTGGGTAAGTGAAATCGCCTTGGCAGTTATCATATCTCGAGTAATAGAGTTTTGTAATTGACGTTGATCCATAATCCAACCGAATAGTATTTCTTCAATTTGTGGATATTGAGGTAATTTTCCATTATGTAACTTGAAGGTTTTTGGCGAAGCTTTAATTAATATATCTTTTTTATCCATCCAGTCACGTAGTTGATTCGGTTGAATATTAAAATTTCTACACGTCTCTCTAATACTTAGGTTAGTTTTATTTTCTTCATAGTAAGTAATAATATTTAATTTTTCGCGAGCATTCCATTTTCTTTTTAATTTTTTGGTAATACGGGCTTTTAAGATACTTTTATTGCTTAAGATAGTCATTTTTTTTTTCTTGAAAAAAAAAAATAAAAAAATTTTTACATCATATATATATAAACTACGTTAACAAAGTAACAATAAAATTTGTCATTATGAATTCATTCAAAAAATTACAAAAGAGATCTTTTTGTTCTGCGAATTTATTACAAAGAGATCGTTTGTTTCATTTATTACAATTAAAAAATTTTCTCTAAAAAAAAAGTACAAAACCACTATCTTCTAAATTTTAATAA